TCTGGAGGATTTTTTATCATAAATGGATGTTGAATTTCGTTGAAAGCTTTTTCTGCATCTATTGAGATGATCACATGGTTTTTATCCTTCACTTTGTTAGTATGGTATATCACATTGATTGATTTGTGTATATTGAAGAATCCTTGCATTCCTGGGATAAACCCCACTTGATCATGGTGTAGATTCTTTTAATGTGCTGTTGGATTCTGTTTGCTAGTATTTTGTTGACGATTTTTGCATCTATGTTCACCAGTGATATTGGCCTGTAGTCTTCTTTTTTTGTAACATCTTTGTCTGGTTTTGGTATCAGGGTGATGGTGGCCTCATAGAATGAGTTTGGGAGTGTTCCTCCTTCTGCTATATTTTGGAAGACTTTGAGAAGGATAGGTGTTAACTCTTCTCTAAATGTTTGATAGAATTCACCTGTGCAGCCATCTGGTCCTGGAAGATTTTTAATCACAGTCTCAATTTCAGTGCTTGTGATCGGTCTGTTTATATTTTCTGTTTCTTCTTGGTTCAGTCTCAGAAGGTTGTGCTTTTCTAAGAATTTGTCCATTTCTTCCATGTTGTCCATTTTATTGGCATTGCTTGTAGTAATCTCTCATGATCCTTTTCTGCAGTGTCAGTCGTTACTTCTCCTTTTTCATTTCTAATTCTGTTGATTTGAGTCTTCTCCCTTTTTTTCTTGATGAGTCTGGCTAATGGTTTATCAATTTTGTTTATCTTCTCAAAGTACCAGCTTTTAGTTTTATTGATCTTTGCTCTTGTTTCCTTCATTTGTTTTTCATTTATTTCTGATCTGATCTTTATGTTTTCTTTTCTTCTGCTGACTTTGGGGGTATTTTGTTCTTCTTTCTCTAATTTCTTTAGGTGTAAGGTTAGGTTGTTTATTTGAGATTTTTTTTGTTTCTTGAGGTAGGATTGTATTGCTATAAACTTCCCTCTTAGAACTGCTTTTGCTGCATCCTGTAGGTTTTGTGTCATCATGTTTTCATTGTCCCTTTTTTCTAGGTATTTTTTTTTTTTTTTTTTTTTTGCGATATGTGGGCCTCTCACTGTCGTGGCCTTTCCCGTTGCCGGACGCGCAAGCTCAGCGCCCATGGCTCACGGGCCCAGCCGCTCCGCGGCATGTGGGATCCTCCCGGACCAGGGCACGAACCCGTATCCCCTGCATCGGCAGGCGGACTCTCAACCACTGCGCCACCAGCGAGGCCCTAGGTATTTTTTGATTTCCTCTTTGTTTTCTTCAGTGATCTCTTGGTTATTTAGTAGTGTATTGTTTAGCCTCCATGTATTTGTATTTTTTACAGATTTTTTTCCCATAGGAATATTATTTTTTAATAGAATACAATTTTTTCTCCATAAGTTTGCTTCATACAATATAATTGTGACATTGTATTCTTAAATATGTCCTCATTTATCAGTTCTTATTTTGAGAAATTGCTGTATTCCATGCATTTGTATTTGATGCTAGCTTTTTATTTATTTCATAATGTTTTTTTTTTTCTGGCTCTGAATAACATTAGTACCATTTACCAGTTTTAGATGGAATTCATACCAATCCCTGGAGTCTAATGCACTCTAAAATAGCTAGAGCATTAGAAATTTTGCACTCAAACCCCAAAGGTTTTTTCTGTTTGTTGGCACTCAAGCCCCAAAGGTTTTTCAATCTAAGTCAGCTTAGTATGATGATACCTAACTAAAAATGGATTAGTAGAAAAATGTGCTTTTAACTGTATATTCTGTTTCTTCTTTCTTCTTAATCTTTTGTTAAAAAGTAACTATAACTGGCAATCAGAATGATGGCAACATAAATCAGGCTGCCTCCTCTCCATTTCCAGCTCCAGTTTATCTACTTTTTCTGAGTCAAGCAGCTACTGATGCAGATAGGCAGGTTGGACCTGGAGGGTTTCAGCCAAGTGACCTGTTGTGATGCTTTCCCTCTCTGGGACAAACTCAAGGCTGAAACACTGTGGAGGAGCACTTGGAAAGAATTTGAAGGGCAAGTGACTGAGAGAAAAAGACTGCAACTGAGAATCCCATATCCATTCAAATTATTCACCAGCTGTGGCGAAAGAAAGATATTTGCATGTGGGGAAAAAGTGAGAGAACACGTGTATCTGAATACTCTATCCAAGAAAAATGCTTGTGAAATGAATAAAATATTTTTAAGAGCAAAAATACTTACAAAAGACAAGTTACTTTTAAAAGTCTGGCAAATCTAACAATATGTTTGTCCCCATAGTTGGAATTGATCCGTATATTTCACAAATAATTTAGCAAGTTATATTTGTATAGGCAAATGTACTATCTTGGATAGATTTTTTTTTGAACAGAATCAAAAATCTATCCGTATGCTTTTATATCTGTGAAATTAATTGCTTTGAATTCATGAATATCCTAGTGATGTAGTTAGAAGAATCCTGAGATTTGGAGCCAGAAGGTCTTAATTTCAGCCTATCATTTACTAGTAAAGGCAAGTTAGTAAAATACTCTTATTCCATGGTTTTCTTTATCTTTGAAATATGAATCCTGTATTATAGATTGTTAGAGGAATTAAATATAAATATGTCTTAACAGGTGTTTTTATCATAATCATCAACCATTAAGACTCTTTAGGGCCGGTAATCACCGTATTTTTAAGACATAGATTTTAACTGGGGAGAGAGGGAGCTGCTATGGAGGGGGTTTTGTGGGTTAAGAGACTTTAACAATATTGTTAATATTTTACTGAATATGGGTACTCGTCACTTTGTATATTTGTTTTAAATATTTCTTATTTGGTAAAAATAATCTTTTCTTATGAAATACCTATAACTTTCCCATGAAATATCTTAACCAATAAAGTTTCTCACATTTTTCCATCAAACGTCACTGCTCACTAGGATACTCTGAAATGTATACTTCATAATTCTGTGCTTGCTTGAGATCTGCTAGTCAGAACATTATTTCCTTCTTGCCATTCTAGTTATGCTATGTTGCACAAAGTATCAATATCATGTTTCTACTGTGTTTGTTAAGTAGATGGCAGAGATCACAGACTGTCTGTTTTGGGATTGAATCTGGCTCTGAGAAGTACTGTTTGTTCCACACAGTATTTGTCTTTATGGTGACTTAAAGTCTCAGGAAAAAAATCAAGAAGTTTTACAACCCTTGATTTGCCTTTCTGCATGACAACAGTGAGTTGGTGCTGAGTACCAGCTGCTTTCTTTAGCTGGGCCATGTGCTCCACAGTTCTGCACCCTCACTATGCTCCCTGATACTAATGTCAAATGTCATTTGCCTTTCATCATTATAAATGTTCGTGTTAGTTGCTTGGCAGTTTCCTTTATAACTGTTAGAGAGATCATATTCAGTAGATGTCACAGTCTTCTATTGATATTTTGCTATGATATTTTAATTTGATGTCACATTTTTAATATTGATAACTTTATAAAGCACACTTGCGTACATCTTTTTCTACAAACATATGACATAAAATATTCTTTTTGTTTGTCAACTCCTCCTTCTCTCATATCCAGTCAGTCCTTTCATGTTACCAATTAAATGTTTCTCAAATCTAGTTCTTCCTGTCCAACCTTACTGCTACTGCTCCTCCCCAGGCCCTCATCATCTCTCATCTGGAGTTCTTTAATTGCTCCCTAACTGAGCTCCTTGCCTTCTGTCACATTCTTTGCAGTTCATCCTCAAGTATATTGCTAGAATGATGTGTCAGAGTGCAGATCTCATCTTGTCACCCCACTGTTTCAAATTCTTCCAAGTCTCTCCGTCTTATATGGCAGGGGTCAACAGTCTTTTCCTTAAAGATCTACATAGTAAATATTTTAGACTTTGCTGGCCATAAGAGTCCTGCCGCAAATAGTTGACTCTGCTGTTGTTGAGTTGAGCACAAAAGCAACCATGGACAATATATAAACCAATGGGCATGGCTGTGTTCCAATAAAACTTATTTACAAAACCAGGTTTAGGTCATAGTTTGTTAATCCCTCTTCTATGATATAAAAGGCTAGCCCTGTCTTCTTTCCTGTCTCATCTACCACTCTCCTATCCTGTTTCTTACAGTTTATTCAGAAGTTCAAATTCTTAAACTTTTCTGAGCACAACATCTTCTTCCCATATCCAATTACGTAATTCTTTTCATTCAGGCTGTTTTTTCACAAATAGCAAAACATTCATATATATCTTGTAAATTTTTAATTCTCAAATGATGGTATCGTATATAAACATGAGATTATTTAGTCACTTACTGACATCTTAAGAAATGTAAAGTCTTAAGTACTAAAAACAGTTTTTAACAAGTCTTTCATAAAGATCATAACCTTGATACAATCCATCTTATTGTTTGGATACCATCAACATATATCCAAAAATCTCAGAATAAGGTCACTGGTAGGAAAGTAGTTTCAACATTATCAACTGTATTGAATCAAAGTTCATTGAGAGAATAATTTTAGGACAGTTAGTAGGAATTGAAAGCAGTAACTCACACTGTGTCCTATCTTTATCACAATTGCTCCTTTCAAATACCGTAAGGAAAGTAGAAAATATTTGGTTTTAGGATATAATTTGCCTGAGGTATTGGACTTTAAGTTGCTATTTAAATTCTAATAGGTCATTTTGCATGTTTCCATATGCAAAGAAACAACACAGCTTGAGAGTATATTGTTAAATGTGTGGGTTTTGCCTCCTTATTAAATTACATGTATTTAGGCTGTTGCTGACTGGTACATGTTGAATAACAAATAAAAGCTATTCCAGTAAAAAAAAAAAAGAAAAAGGAAGAACTTCATTCTTGAATCATAATGAAAAGTGTGATTTGATTACTAGGGTGAGAGAGTAGATTGGTAGAGCTGCTGTGATGGAATTTTGTTAAGATGTGGGTGGATATTAATACTGATTATGACAAAGTTCTCTAAATTTTCTGATACTCACATAATAATGCATTAATTTAAAGCTCTGTTAAAACTACCTTGTAAGTGTCTTTTATGGTTGCTTTTTAGCCACCAGCTGAACAGGCCAAAGCAAGACTACAACTGGTTCTTGAAGCTGCTGGTAAGTGTTAATAATTAACTTTATTTAAATGAAAATATGTGAAATAAATCCTAGCATGCTTACAGATGGGTCAAAGAGCAAAACACCTATTTTCATATAGCCTCACAAATTTGTGAGATCTTTGTATGGCCATATTTTACCTCAAATATTTATTGCTATAGTATGATGTTAAAAGGTCATTCTTTACCTTCTTATTTATAAAACTGGCTTCGATTTTAGTTTTAATTTTGATGAAGTCCAGTTTATTGATTTTTGTCTTTTACGGACTGTGCTTTTAGTGGCATGTTTAAGAAGAATTTTATACTTCTACATTTTATATTTGAGGCTGTGATCATTTTGATTTAATATTTATATAAGGTGTGATTTTTAGATCAAGGTTTTGCTCTAAAGGAAATGAGATAAATGTTTAATAATTCTTCCAGTTACATTAGACTCATTGGACTATTCGTCTGGATACCATCTAATCTTAAAAATCTGTATGTTTTAATATCTCAATTGTACAATAATTCTTTCTTTGATTTTAGATTATAATACCCAGATTCATGTACACATTAAATACTTTACTTTTTAAAAAATATAAGAGATCCATGTTACCTTTTCCAAGTACTGATATTTTACTCTAAATCTTAATGTGGTTTTTAAAAATATATATTACATTCAAATAATAAGTTATCAAGATCAAGCATGAGGTAGGGTTAGAATAATATTACCAAAGGAGTACATGTTTCTTAAAATTATTTACTTTTTAAGGATCTTTAAAGAGTTCATAATTTCCAACTGGAAAATGAGAATTCTATTTTGACATCAAAAGTAATTTCAGGCTACCAAATGATAGTAGTTATATTTTTAATATTCATTGCAAAAATACATGTATGCATATTAATTCAAGGATTTCTTACATTAGCTCCTTTTATTCCTACCCAATGTGTCTACAGTCTAAAGATTGGGAACACCAGTATAAATGATATACTAACTTCATAAATCACTAATTGAAGTAACTTAACCGTATAAAAATTAATATATTGACTGTGAATCTCTATACCACTTCATATTACTTTAAAGGTTCATTACCTGAGTACTGACAAACTCTTGCTTTAAAGGAAAATATTTATGGTGCTTAGTCCAGAAAATATTTGTTTCTGTTAATGCAGCATAAAGAATTGTATTTCATAGTTTTATACAGTTTTCTTTACGTTTAAAAAATTTTTTTAACATCTTTATGGAGTATAATTGCTTTACAATGGTGTGATAGTTTATGCTTTATAACAAAGTGAGTCAGCTATACATATACATATATCCCCATATCTTCTCCCTCTTGCCGTCTCCCTCCCACCCTCCCTATCCCACCCCTCCAGGTGGTCACAAAAAGCGTATTATAAAACAGATCTGACAGTGCGGACCTCAGTGTATAACTTGCTTATATTGGTCCCAGCTGTCACTCCTCATTTTTTAATTTAACATTCTAAATTCTATTAAGGGTAAGTAGGGAGGTTCTGTGAATTTGACAAACATTCAAAATATTATGACAATTTTCAAATTAAAAAACTTAACATTGCCCCCCATAAGCAAAGGACAGACCTTAGCTAGATGTAGGATTATTTATTTAATCGTTTTCTTCTTATTGAATATTTACATTGTCTCTAGCTTTTCCCTCTTACCCATAATACTGTTATGCACATCCTGTTACAAAGTGTTTTTCATAGTTTAGCTTATTTTCTTGGAATTGATTACTATAGAAATGAGTTTATGAGATTAGAGGGTGTTAATATGTAGAGTGGCTTTTTATACATTCTTGCTAAATTGTTTTACAAAAGGTTTGTGTTGTAACCATTGTCACTGGTTAAGACACCATTTTAACCGGATTTTGCTTTTTGATGCCATTTCTGCGACTATATTGCTTTATAACATGAAATAACATATTATACCCCTTTGAAAAACATATATTAATGTTATTAATGAGAACCTGTGGCCTTGGAGAGGAGAAGCAGATAGATGGATATAGGGGAACGCTAAGCAAATATAGAACTTACTGTCAAGGTTCTGGATCTCTGTTTCAGTGATGAATCAAGGTATTCATTGTATTATTAAAAATAAACAAACAAGCAAAATAAAGTAGGGGGGAATAAGAACTTGAGCTCAGTCTGGTAAGGCTCATGGATAAAGTCTAGCCTGGGCCTAAGATTGAGGTGGCTGGATAGGAAGGCCTGGTAGTTCCCATTCTGTCTCATTGGAGTTTACTTGAGTTCCAAGGGAAAACACCCTCAACTTTGGGGCCTTAAAATTGGGTATAGGGAAGAACTTAAGGCTGTATGCTAGATTCTTGAGCCAGGATTTTTTTCAGCCTTATAGTTATCATAATCTGGTAGATAGGGTTCATATGTAGAAATCTTGCTGACTAGACTTAGTCTTTTACTCTAATTGTGGGTCCCAGAAGAAAGTTTTATACATTACCATTGCATTGTTATTGATTTATTAGTGAATGTAAATCATGGCCTTGGTTTGGAATTAAAATATATTTAATAACATTTGGCAATAATTACTAGCGGTATGAGTAAAATACATTAAGCAAAATGTAACCATGTACCTTGAATTTGAAGTCAGAGATTTTATTGTATTTGTTATGATCATATTTTGTATATACTAAACTGTTAACATTTTTATATTTTGCTATGCTAAATCTTCAGATTTAGATAGAATCTTTTTTCATGTTCATTGTCAAAATGCAATTGAAATGAAGTTTCATGTCTCTTGTTTAACTTTTAATTTGAAGGTGATGTGAAGTTAAGGTTATGTCTAAGATGTTTTGTTTTTTCCAAATGCTGGAGGAATCAAGCTTGTAAAACTATATAAATTTGTAAGATTGAATCTTTAAGTTATCAGTATAACTTCAGGTAATGATTTACTTTATGCTATTGAGTAAATCCAATTAAAAATCCTCTTGGCCATGACTTCTTTCTTTTCATTTAAAAAATACTTTTACCATTCTCACATTCATTAAGATTCAAAACCTTGAAATGTTTATCTTTGACTTCTTTATAGGCAGTCATTCACCTAGAATTAATGACTTATTTTGAAATATTTTTTATAGCTAGCCCTCTATTATCTTTCCCACTGCCAACTCCTTGGTCTGGACACCAAACAATCCACCCAAAGGTTAATCCATTACCTCCTAGTTGGTCTTTTGCTTCAATTCTGTCTCTTCTCCAGAGAGAGGGTGGTGAATAGTGGAAGGGTTCTAAGCCTGCTTCCACTGCTCACTCATTCTGTGACCTTCAGTAGTTTGATGTTTATTGTTTAGCCAAAACGTTTTTTTTTTAAATGGAATATGGCAGATGTGTGTATTTTCTAGTTTACTGTAGTTCTTTACTTTTTAGAAGTAATTTATTGAGGTGAAATTCACATAAGACAAAATAAAACATAACTGTTTAAAGTGACAATTCAGTGGCATTAAATACATCCACAAAGCTATATAACCACCACCTCTATCTAGTTTAAAAACATTTCCAAAGTAAAACCTATTACCTATTAGGCAGTTTCTCTCCCCTCACCTTACCCTCAGCTCCTGGCAACCGCAACCATCAACCTGCCCTCTATCTCTATGGATTTATCTATTCTGCATATTTCATATAAATGGAATCATACAGTGTGTGACCTTGTGTGTCTAGCCTCTTTCATTTAGCATGTTTTGGAGGTATAGCCATGTTGTAGCCTGTGTCAGTATTTTATTCCTTTTTATGGCTGAATAATATTCCACATAATACATTTGTATTATGTATATAATACATACATAATATAATATATTAATATATACATAATATATACATAATAATACATAATATATATACATGATAATATATATTATGTATATATATAGTATATATACATTCAGCCATAAAATGTATTCTGTGGAATATAATAATATTCCACAGAATACATTTTATGGCTGAATGTATATGTGTGTGTGTGTGTGTGTGTTTACACACACGCCATTTGTTTATCCATTCATCTGTTGATGGAAATTTGGGGGGTTTTCCGCCTTTTGGCTGTTGTGAACAGTGTAGCTTTGAACATGCATATATATATGTACTTGTTTGAGTAACCATTTGTAATTTTGAGGGGTACACACCTAGGAGTATAATTATGGGGTCATTTGGTAAATTCTTGGTTTAACTTTTTGTAAAACCACCAGATTTTTCCACAGCGGCTGAACCATATTACATTCCCACCAGCAGTATAAAAGTATAGCCCCCTATTGTCTCAACTAGGCCGTGTTGCATATTTAAGTTACCTATTTGACAGTATCAATATTTAGGTTTTAAGGATTTCCCTACGCCATTATTTCCTAGTCTGTAAGGGGAAAAGATGATGATTACCTTATAGGATTGTTGTGAAGATATATATTATAAGTGAAGTATCTAGCCCAAAGTCTGGCAGATGGTAGCCACCAGAAAATTTTTATTTCCATATTGCTTCTGGTGAGTACCATTGCTAGATGATTCTTTCTCACCCACCACTTGGTCATGCTGCTCCTTTGCTCAAAATTATTCACTGGCTCTAGATTGCTTACAAGATCAATTTTATACTTCTGTGCTTAAGGTTCCAAGGTTCTGTATGGTGGATTCACAGACGTTTCTAACTTTTTTTCTTAGAATTCATTTTTATACTTCTTCTCATTATTCTTTGAGTTACTCATGTTCTTTTCTACCTGGGAATTTTTGCTTGTGATTATTTTCTCCTCTAGAAATATCTTTCTCCTTCCTCTTTCTCTCTCTAAACACTTCAATATGCATCTCAGATAACATTTCCACGTGATTTCTCTGACCATTACCTCATGTAATCTTTCTGTTCTCCTTTGAATTCTTTTTCTTTTATTCTATATACACCATTCATGTTGGTATTTACTCACATACTGCTGATATTAATATTTGTTTCATGAGTGTTGGACCTATTTTCCCAATGAAATAATAAATGTCTGAAGGTCAGGAACCATATCTAAAACT